ATGAATGCTCCTATCTCCGACACTTCACACAAAAAAATAACTCTTGCACGCCTTGCGTGCCTATGTTTTGGTTAAGTTAGACGCCCCTCCTGGCTAAGCTTTTAGCTAGTAAATTGTGCAAAATTTTTCAGCTCGGCAAATTGAAGAGTGCAACAGATGATCGATTTCACTTTAAAATTTAGCGTTCGTTGTCCGATTATAAAAGAGCACAATTTTCAATCCGTGGCTTCGGAGAAATCCATTGTAGAAAGGTTAGAAAGATTATTTTACAGTTCATCTTTTATTCTGTATTATTTTCATGCATCACGTCAAAATTTCTTTCTGCTTGCGTAAGTTTCTGAACCCGAAATTGCGGTTTTAAATACGTCTGGCAAGAAAAACAAGATGTTTGAGATCGAATCTATGAATTTAATTTTTCATTAAAGGCATTCCAGTTCAGTGACTGAAGGAAGATAACAATACCTTATTATAAACCGTTTATTGTTCCATACAAATTTGCGTTCGCTTCCCGGCGAAACAGCTTTACGAATTAAAAACCTCATCGTTACAATAGGCGATATGGATACTCTTTTGCAGCAAAAACTAATTTATATTTGAGAATAAATTTAATCGATGTAAACTAAAATAACGTAATGTTGTTAGTAATTTTTCACCGCTGAATTTTTGAACAATGTCGATGATTCTTATGGAGTTCTTCATTTACATTGCAGGACGAAAGAAGTTAATCGTGCGGCAAAGAAGCTGTACAGACAACAAAGCAACCTTCGGCGAATGAAGTTCCATCCGCGTTAGATGTTGAGTCAATAAAGTTAGAGTTTAAGCAGTCTTTTGGCGAGAAACTGATAACTGCGCTAGCTTTTAATTCCCTTTAAATGAGCTTTTAGAGCGAAGAAGAAAATAAGTCTTTTCGCGTGATAAAAGGCCGAGACTTTGAAAGAAGTCTTTTGGCGGGAAAAATAACGGTACATTTAAAGGGAAGTTTTGGCGGGAAAAAAGGCCGAGATTTTGATTGGAGTCTTGTATTGAGTCAAAAATAAACGAAGTCTTTTGGCGGCAAAAATAACTGCGCTTTTGAAGAGAACTTTTCGAGCGAAAAAAATAAGTCTTTTGGCGGGAAAAAAGGCTGTGATTTTGAATGGAGTCTAGCATTGAGTCAAATATAAACCAAGTCTTTTGGCGGAAAAAATCTGTGCGGTAGCAGCAGATTTCTCCCAGCAAAAGGTAGTATTTATTATGACTTTATACTAGACCGCGTTTAATTTTGCAGAAATTTTCTCGGCGTCGACAACCTTACATATTCAAAAAATAGTAAAAGAGATAGCCTACATTCTGACTAGTTTCCAGGCCCCTTTCAAAAGCGCAGATTTTTTTGTCTCTTTCTCTTGCAAATAAAGCAAGACACATTTATTGATTGCAAATGTTTGTTTATTTCAGCTGTCAAATTCAAGTAACATACTACAATGTCGCAATCGTTAATTAACTATATTTCTAAGTGTAATTAAGGTTTGAAACAAAATAAAACAGAAATAATAACAGAGGTGAAAATTTGCTATTGAAAATATGAATAGTAAGACTGACTCTTTTAAAAAATAATCTTAAGTGTTTAGGATCTTTAGTTTGAATGATAAATAATATCAGGAGCCATAATCGGGGACGGAGACCGTAAG